ATATATTGCACTTTTGTTTTGACTGTGTCACATATTTTCATGGGTTTGATGGGAGATAGATTACCAGTAACTACAAACCAATGTTTGTAATGTGTTTTGTTTGGGTGCTATTGTTGTTCGGCTGAGGATTATGTGGTATTACCTGTTTTGGTACACCTCCAGTGCCCCAGTGTTTTATGTTACTGATTTGCTGACTGGTTTGATGGTAACAATGGAGGTGCTCACTTTTGTAGTCAAGTTCCTGGTGCAATACCTGCCTTACGTGCATATCTAGGATTGCATGTTTGTTCTGTTATTGCAGTTGGGGCGGTGGGGTAGCTCAGTGGTTAAAGCGTTGGCTCGTCACGCGGAAGACCCAGGTTCGAATCCCCACATGGGTACAATGTGTGAAGCCCATTTCAAGTGTCCCCCGCCGTGATGTTGCTGGAATATTGCTAAAAGTGGCGTAAAACCAAACTCAGTCAGTCAGTCAGTGTTATTGCAGTTGCTGTACTGAGTTATGTCCCTTGGTCATGTCAGGAAATGGTGAACAAGGGTTTGAATGTCAGAGTTCCTTTATTACTGCTGGTCTCACACTCATGAAGGTTTAATAAAAGTGGACGATATGCAAGCTAGATCACTGTGAATTCTTTGCCTACAGAAAGTTGACTTGTCATCATCATCATCATCATCATCATCATCATCATCATCATCATGTAGGCAGCAGAAGTAGTAGTCTTATCCAATGTATGCTGTCATAGCTAGCATTGATTCATTATCAATAATAATATTGTAATTACTGCTGTTATTGACCTGCACTTACACTGGGTCTCACATATGTATTTATACAGCCAGGTATCGGGTACATCAGGTAATTCAATACAAGAACCTATCCACTCGAATTCCGAGTTTAACATGGGGTTCACTCTGGAATTTCCATAATTTTGGTTGAAGTAATTACTCTCTTGCATCAATAATTTGTGTGAATGTGGGTGCTCAGCCTAATTGTTTCTCTCAGAACCGTGATTACCTCATGGAGTATCAGGTAAAATATTTAGCAGATGCAAGAGAGATTGATCGCTGCTGTACTACCACTCACCTTTCCAGCTCACGATGTAAAGTGACTGCTTGCAACACTGTGATTAGTTTTGGGGAAAATGGTTTACAGATTATGTGTTCACTGGGATTAACATTTTAACATTTTTCACATAATTTTCAGGCTGGAAATTACAGGTGTAATATGGCAAACAGAAGTACTACCATAAATGTTCTGGTAATATCTTCTTTGGAAACTTTCAGAAGAAACATTTATTTCATTAACTGAAACGTATATTATTTCCTCATCTTTTAACCCCAAACTAAGCAAAATAAATTTAGCTGATTAGCATGTAAAGGTAAAATGTTTTGGAAATCAGTGTGGTGAAAAATAATCAATTATTGCTTTCCATCTTTTGCAGAAGAAAAATACATGTTTTAAAGTTGTGGGGGAAATATTATCCTGTGTAAAATACAAATCCCAATGCACACACATATGCCAAAGATATTAAAAGGTCTAGTTGGTCCTAAGGAAATTATTTAATTATTTACGGTAGCTAATCAGCCAGCCAGAATACCTCTCACCACACGTTCAGTCAATACAGATCCTTGAACTTGAGGGCGGGGTGGAAAGTTGCTTCAAAGCATGCAACAGGTTGAGGTATTTGCTGAACAGCCTTGTATCCTGATCCTTTATAATTGTAAATACTTTGTAGCTGAAATATTTTCCTGATGCAGGACAACTCTGCTGGAGAGATATGTTTCATGATGTTCCTGGTTTTATGGGGTCAGGGTATTTGTAACCTGGGGGCTGTACATGTTTACACAAACTTGTGACATTGTTTACATTAGACTGCAGCTGTCTTGTCACACCATTTCTGTAAAAAAGTTCAATTGTGAATGTTGGTAAATATAGTTCAACTAGAGTTGCCAGTTATTGTAAAATGATTGTATGAATGATTCATGTTCAGTTCTGTATTGATATAACAGCAGGGTGTGATGAACAGACTCTATACCAGACAAACCAGTGATTGATAGTATGAACACTAGACCAGACAGAACAGTGATTGATAGTATGAACAGTGGACCAGACAAACCAGTGATTGATAGTATGAACAAAGGACCAGACAAACCAGTGATTGATAGTATGAACATTGAGCCAGACAAACCAGTGATTGATAGTATGAACAGTGGACCAGACAAACCAGTGATTGATAGTATGAAGATTGGGCCAGACAAACCAGTGATTGATAGTATGAACACAGGACCAGACAAACCAGTGATTGATAGTATGAACATCGGGCCTGACAAACCAGTGATTGATAGTATGAACAGTGGACCAGACAATCCAGTGATTGATAGTATGAACAGTGGACCAGACAATCCAGTGATTGATAGTATGAACACAGGACCAGACAAACCAGTGATTGATAGTATGAACACAGGACTGGACAAACCAGTGATTGATAGTATGAACACAGGACCAGACAAACCAGTGATTGGTAGTATGAACACTGGACCAGACAAACCAGTGATTGATAGTATGAACAGTTGACTAAACCAGTGATTGATGGTATGAACACTGGACCAGACAAACCAGTGATTGATAGTATGAACACAGGACCAGACAAACCAGTGATTGATAGTATGAACACAGGACCAGACAAACCAGTGATTGATAGTATGAACAGTGGACCAGACATACCAGTGAATGATAGTATGAACAGTGGACCAGACAACCATGTGATTGCTGGTATGAACTCAAGACCAGAAGAACCAGTGATTGATAGTATGAGCACATGACCAGACATACCAGTGAATGATAGTATGAACTCAAGACCAGACAAACCAGTGATTGATGGTATGAACACAGGACCAGACAAACCATGATAGTATGAACACAGGACCAGACAAAACAGTGATTGATAGTATAAACACTAGACCAGACAAACCAGTGATTGATAGTATGAAGACAGGACCAGACAAACCAGTGATTGATAGTACGAACAGTGGACCAGACATACCAGTGAATGATAGTATGAACAGTGGACCAGACAACCATGTGATTGCTGGTATGAACTCAAGACCAGAAGAACCAGTGATTGATAGTATGAACACAGGACCAGACAAACCAGTGAATGATAGTATGAACACAGGACCAGACAAACCAGTGATTGATAGAATGAACAGTGGACCAGACATACCAGTGAATGATAGTATGAACAGTGGACCAGACAACCATGTGATTGCTGGTATAATAATGTCTATTTATATTACGCTGGGTTCCATCCACAGAGGTGCATGCTCAAGGCGCTACAATAGTCACTGATGAGAAGTTCATGGGAGGAGATAGTTCGTGGGGATAGAACTTTCTAAAGAGAAAGGTTTTTAGGTTGGTTTTGAATGTCTCAAGGGTGGGTGATTCTTTAATGTTCTGAGGTAGTGGGTTCCATAACTGAGGTGCTGCTACTTGAAACGATCTGTTGCCGTAGGATTTTAGTCTTGAGTTTGGTACTGCAAGTAGGCATTGGTTTTCAGACCTTAGATGTCGTGAAGGCTGGTATGGTGAGATCAGTTCTGATAGATAGCTCAGTGCTGTACCACTCAAACAGTGGTAGGCAAAACACAAGATCTTGAAGTGGATCCGGGCTTCTATTGGTAGCCAGAGTAGGGACATCAATGCCGGTGTTATGTGGCATCTTTTTGGTGCACGACTCACAATATGAGCTGCCCTATTTTGTACCTTCTGGAGTTTGTTCAGCAGATCCTGACTCAAACCATACAACAGACTGTTGCTGTAGTCAATGCGGGACATCACAAGTTGTTGGACTAGTGTTTTTGTTACGTCTTTGGTAATAAGATGGCGGATATTACCAATACTTCTTAGATGGAAGTAGCAGGTCTGGCACACATGATTAACTTGGGCTTCCATTGACAAGGGAGAATCAAAGATGACACCCAGGTTCTTTGCTTTGTCGGCGAATGGTATGAATGAGTCTCCCACAGCATGAAATCAGGTATGAACTCAAGACCAGAAGAACACAGTATGAACACAGGACCAGACAAACCAGTGAATGATAGTATGAACACAGGACCAGACAAACCAGTGAATGATAGTATGAACACAGGACCAGACAAACCAGTGATTGATAGTATGAGCATTGATGCATTGTATCATAGCACTTTGACACAATCAGACACATCACCAAGTCCTCAAACACCATCATATATCTTGTTCGGCATTCATGGCTGGGCTGAAGAAATCTTGTGACCCAGAATGATGATCCAGATTGGGCTTTTTGTATATATTGCCTGATTTTTCTGGAAAATTATCAGGAACAAATTCATGAATATATTTTCACAGGTGTAGCTTATTACATCTACAGCTGATATTGATATTTCTCTTACTATTCTGAGAACTATCAACATTTATTTTTATAGTATTCTTCAATACAGACTCTTATTACCTGTGTCCCTAATCCTTGAATATTGAGGGTCAACAGCAGGTGAAATGTGGAATCACATGCTCCATGCTAAAACAGGCTTGAAGTGGAGATATATCAGGAAGATTTCACTTGATCATTTTCCCACTCGGAAGGTTATACAGATGAAAGTGGTGATGATGAAGCAGGTTAGATAATGTCTTTCAGCAGCATCAGATTCAAGAGATCAGGTTTCAGTATACGCTGATCGTCAGACAGATGAAACTGCAGCAAAAAAATGTGCTACCTTATTCAGATTCAGGGCTAGCTGATCAATCACCCGAGCCCTGATCAAGAACATTTATATATACATATCCTCTGTAAGAAAATGCACAGCCTGTGTGTTAGATGAACCCCTTGGTGCTTAATCATCAGATTATTAATGTTTACTTCAAGACTGGTATACATAGATATTCGTGTAGATATTTTTGTATGGTTAGATGTAATTACAACTGTTTTTCGTGGCCATGTATTAAAAAATAATGTGAATTCCTCATGCTGTAGGTCAGGGGACCTGGCTGATCAAAGACCTAAAAG